AATGAAGGAAAGGAGAACGCACCGCTGAGGGATACAATGGGCATCGAACGATTTTTACTAACGAGTTGCTGTGCATCAAAAAACGAACGAGCGAGTTTTTTCTATGCAAAGCAACGAGTGAATAAAAATCGTTCAAGCATTCTCCATGGTGTAATGTTTTTATTTCATACGTACTGAGATTTTTTCTTACTGAAAGCAACACGCTTGTTGCCCTCCACTGTGAAGTACTATCGTTCATGTCTACGATTGGACGAACGATGTATTTTCAGTCGTTCGCTCAGTATGTACGAAATAAATTACGGTACCTTCAATGTTTTGAGAATCAGATACCGTATCAACACTTTTTTGAGCATAAATCTTTCCAAATCCTGAATAATTACTATTTGTTATCAGAACGATTGTCTGCCGCAATCCTCAACCCTTAACAAAACGATCTATTTTTTTTTTGGTGAAAGAACGTTTCCTGTCCACGTAGAACGTTTGAAATACTACCCTTCTGATCCCCTAACTCGATCAACTCGGACGTCGTCCGGTTTAAAAGTTCCATTTTCTAAAAAGCAACTGAAGTGGTTGCGTTAACAAATTTTTTAAGGGTTTAAGTAGTTTAGGAATTAAAAAATATTATAAATTTCCATAGATACAAAAGTGCCCTAAAAGTTACCAAAATGCCCTGCACAGTTGCAAAAGTGCCTGTCACGTTACAGAAGTGCCCTTTTGTGTTACAAAAGTGCCTGAAAAAAGATAGAAATGTGCCCTTTCCTCCAGCTCTCCCTCTCTCTCTCTCTCTCTCTCTCTCTCTCTCTCTCTCTCTCTCTCTCTCTCTCTCTCTCTCTCTCTCTCTCTTTAGATTCATGAGTGAGTGTTTGCTACGCGTTTTCTCTATGCCTATTTAAATTAAGTAAAAGTTTTTTTTTAAAGTATTTAACAATTCTAGCCAAAAGAATATTGCTTTTTAGCTCTCTTCTATGCAAAACCAACGTTATTAAAGTTTAATTGTTGTTCGCATTTCGTCACTGAAAAGTCAGAAGGTAGCAAATACCCAAACCTAGGTACATCAATCATTTTTTTTATAAAATTCAAAAACTTTTCCGGATATCAAAGGTCTTCTAAATGTTCTTCTTTGCCGTAAAAGCCTTCTGAGTTCTGTCGTTTTAAAATTTTTTTCTGTGAAGACCATTTTTAGCAAAAAGTGCGCTTCTGGGTATGTAGGTGTACAAGACTTGAAACTTTGGAACCCAAACATTTCTAAAAATGCGTTTTTCGCATTATTTCACTTTTAGTTCATTCTAATGCCATGATTTTCGCATGCATGGATGACGCATTATTTTTTAAGAATTTACAACGTGTTTACAAGCTATTCCATTCATTTTTATCAATTTTACGAGCGAAATTCTGCATGTAGCAAATACCCATTTTATGTAGCAAATACCCACTTGTAAGTAGCAAATACCCACTTTGCCAAATTGATGGGACATTTTACTTATAAAACTTGAATAAAGCGGAATTCTGGTAATTTGTTTGCATAGCTAAAAGACGCCTTGTGAAAGGGAACATGGAAAATAATTTAAACATTTTTTAAAAGTGTTATTATTTGAATTAAAGCAGAAATATCGTGACTGAGCGACATTCAAGTTAAAAAGAGAAGCGGAGCAATATTGACAGTTAAGATGATTTCCCTGCCTAGTGTACTAATTGAATTAACAAAATAAAGCTTTTTAGACCATTTTTTACTGATCACGTGGACAACAACAATTTTTTTTCACGTCGGCAACGTAGGGGTGGTTACCCAATCCCCGAGCCTAATGGCTCATGTTAAAAACGCTCGACAAAGATGATAAAAACGCAAAAATATCACTTAGCTCCCGATGCTGAACTTCCCTGAAACCCTACCAGCCCTAATCACCTAACATTATAGCCCTAACCCCAAGCCTAATTACCAATTCATAACCCTACCTCTACAATTGTATACTAATACACTTATAGGCTTACAGCCAAGCGTAGTTATGCGAGATAGGCCAGACTTAAATTCCGATAAAGTGGTTGCTGATTTAATTGAAGATGGTAACTGGTTCCAAGAATGAGAGATAGTGTATGAAAAGAGCTCTGAATATGGCTAGAGGTATTTACAGGCTGGGAAACATTAAGAGCAGAGGAGCGCAAATTGTAATGACAGACTCTAGGTGTAAAAAAATTAGAAATATACGAAGCTTCCTGTCGCTTGTATACCTTAAACATGATTAAAGACGCAGTAAAACGTCTTGGGTTAAGGTGTCCATACTAGCAGGCCTGAGACAGTCTTTGTACTCAGTAGATCTACTTAAATTAAGCACAGTTCTTAACGCGTAAAAATACATTTTTCCAGCTTATTTTTTTTCAGGGAAGTAGATTCCCAACAAAAGAGGGGAACAGTAAATGATACCCTTTCATGTACAGGGATTCCACCTTAAGTTTGCTAGCACAAAATTTAGATACTCTTACTAAATGCGCAAACGGCTAATTTTCAGAAGAGACATGACGCTTTACTTTACAAACATGGCCACTGGTTTTCGATAGATTTTATTGCTGTTAATTGGATTTATGAGCAAAACTCTACACCTAGCAAATTCCCATTTTATGTAGCTTATCACATACAGGGCAAAATTACTAAGTGCTGATTGGCTGAGACAGAGGGCATTTTTTTCTTAATCACGAGGGTACTTTTGGTAATCAAAAGGGCATGATTACTTGATCTTGATTGGTTTAAAGTTGCTTTGTAATGAAGTTATTGCTTAGATTTGTTGCCGATTAAAATTTTCTGCAACAATGGCTTCCCATTTTGTTGAAGAGTTTATTGAGGAACTACTAAACACAAGTGAGCACAAAACACAAAAAAAGAAGTACGGACTACTGGACTAACATTTTCCAACAATGGGCAAAGACAAGAGGAAAAAAATGAGCAATGTCGCGGCATTGAACGGGCTTCCTAAAAGAATAACGTCGCGCGTGAATGGATTCCCGCGATAATTTTGCCCTTTATGTGATAAACAAGAAATCGCAAAGTGCCCTCGGGCAATTAAGGATTAATTTCACTGGTGTTTTTTCAAAGTTTGGAAATACGCGTGAAATTAATCCCAATGCCCGAGGACCCATGCGATTACATATACATATCCTATTGACAGCTCGCATACAAGTTTGGGCGTGCGTGTTGATCATCCTTAAAGCTCTATGACAATGGCGATTTTAGCTGCAATTTCACCGGTTTGTGAGGTTTACAGAGCGATATAAATATTTTTAAAAAGCAAGTGGATATTAGTTAAAGGTTAATGGACATCGTAGAAAGACAACAATAGATAAAGTCTTAAGTATTCTAATGTTATCTTTGTATTGGCTCATTTAGAATAAAACACCAATATTTAGGAAGGGGTTATGCGATATCGCTCTATTATGACGACAAAAGTTGCACTAGGGTAAAGTTAAACCCATAAAAAAATATTTAACTGTTAACATGTAATAGTTCAATAGACACTAAAGGAAACAACGAAATTAGTGGTTAATAAAGTGTGTTAGTCTAATATGTATTTCACGGGCTTAGTGACTTCACCCTAAACTTTTCGAAAACGTCATGAAACTTCCACAAAATCTCAACTGGAACTGCACTTAAAAAGACAATATATTGCAGGTTCATGACAACGAGTCTCAAAGTAAACTCTTTTAATTCCAGATATAAGCTTTATCACTTGGAGCTAAGTTTTTAAACGACAACTTTTGCTTTATGAAAAATTCAACTTTATAACACCTCGCAACAAGACCAAGACAAGTTAAATCTTTTTCATAGAAGTCGATGTCCTACACACATCAGTCACCAAGACAAATTCTATGACTCTTAAGGCCGATTTCCACGATGCGATTGTAGTATATGACTCTTAAGGCCGATTTCCACGATGCGATTGTAGTATATGACTTGATGCATGTGACCCGAATCATACCATATAAACGGTCATTCGTCAGGTCGTACACGACCCTATGACTTGTCGTTCGAACCTTAACACACGAAGAAATTGCATTGTGTAAATCGGCCTTTTTAGGGAATATTGACTTACTTGAAATAAAACGATCAACCATAAAATGACTGGCAAACGGTTAAAGAAAATAACATGTTAACAATATAGGACTCAATTATGTTGTAACCCTGAATACATAAAGACAAGAAATGTTCAATGTCAACTAATGTTCAAATATAATGCAAGAACCACAGGATCAAACTACTACTTTCTCTTCATCTTTTGACGTTTGACTTCTTTTCGTACCTTGTCCGCCAAACGTTGTTTTTGCCTCAAAAGAAGCTCCTCATCATCGGTTCCGAAGACCAACCCGGTTTTCCATGCTTTCTCATCATTTATCACCCGTTCCCAAACGACCTCTCTTTTTACTGCGTTGTTTTCAATCATATCCTGAGTTAACGATAGGAGATGGTCTGTTTGTTCATCGGTGAACTTACTCCATGATGGCTTTGCAGATTCAGATGCGATGGATGGAGCTCTGGAAGACATAAACCGTTCTATCTTCTGTTCAGGAGACTCAACTTCAGTTGGTGGTTCTAAGTTTTTGTGGTAAATTCTGATCGAAGCCTTCTCACTTTCAACACAATTGCCTTCATGGAGTGTGTTTCCAACAGGTTGGAAGCACCAAGTTTATCTCTGACAATGTTTTCAGTTATGTTACCAGTCTCAATTTCAGACTTGAATAAATCTTGAAGTTTTGAGGTCTCTTCCTCGGTCCACTCGACAGGAATTATTGATACCTAAAAGAAATCAGAATTCGTATGCCAATTGTTATTCAAATTACTACGATTGGTATGCATTATAAAAGTACTTACCTCTGTCTTTGCGCAGTTCATGGTGATAAATTTTCTGACAGCACGACGCCCAATATCTGTTTCTCTAACTTTGTCATTGATGCGGTAATATTGAGCTTGTGTTTGAGGTTTGTGCTGTGCAAGGGCAGCCAGTTGTTCTTGATCTTCAGGCAAATGGACACACTCCTGATGCCAGAGATTTTCTTATCAAGGTTGCGGAGATGCGACCGTGAAACTTCACACCCTCCCTTTGAAATGTACGAGTCAGACACGTGGATACTTGCGATGAAGTAAGTTTAACGCCATTGGTTGAAACGAACATGTTATCTGTGGCATCTTTGACGTACTTAGGCCTCACCCTTGAGATATACGTATTCACCAGATTGTAAACATCAGCATGAAACCATACAATGGCTGCCCCATAAACACCTCCTGTCTTGTGATTCTTAACTGATACGCGGTATCTCTCTCCATCTTCTTCTCCAGCGTACAGTTTAGCATCTTTGAATTCCTCCACTGTTATATTTGCTGCAATACCACTTCTTCCGGAGTTGTCAATTATTAATCTTGTAATCAGCCAATCCCTTACTTCGCAAAAGGTCTGATCGTTGACCAGCACAGGTTCTCCACAAGCTTTGCTTTTCTCCGCAGCTGTTCCAAGCGCTTTAATTATGTTTATTCGCTGTTGTCCATTTGACACTTTATATAGATCTTCGCTAGAAAGGAGTTTTGCAAAGTCCATGTCATGTTTCTCTAATTTCCTTTTCAGCACCTTCTTTCTTTGAGCAGATGACCACGAAGTTAAAAGATCTCTCCTTGCATGAAGTGTGTCTAATCTATCTTGCCCTTTCTCTTCTTGCACAAGGAATTTAAGGAATAGCCTAAGGCTCATTAGGTATGATCTAATGGTTCCAGGTTGATACTCCTCAGATAGTTGACCCAACCACTTCCTCAACATTACCACTCCGTCATGCCCCTCGACAGTAACAAGATCTATTTCATTTGCTGCTTGAGGGAAATCTTCTGAAAGAACTTTCATGATGCGTTTTACCTGTGACTTGTACTGACCAGCCACTTTTGCGCAGCGATAACCCCCGTCTACGTCTATCAACCAGGAATGAAACTCGTTAAGCAGTGGGCTGTCATCACTACTATCATTGTCTTCAAAACTGACATCATCTTCCATCTCTTCAAGACAGTCGTCATTATCATCATCATCGCTATCGTATACTGATGATTCATCATCATTCATAACTTCCTTAGGCACTTTACCTTGTGAAAGATTGCTTTGGGAGTCAGTATTACCAGCGTTCTTTTTTCTTTCAAAAACAACATCAACCACGCTCTTCCATTCTGGTTCCACACGAAGAAAATCGAGATTATCTACGTTTTCCACGAAATCAGTTAAAATGTCATCCCTTTCTTGCAACGAGCAGTTATCTGACAAGCTTCCAGTGCTACACTCTGATTCGGAGTCCAGGGAAGGGTGATAGTTTGGGTCTAAAATTTCCTCTTCTTCACTGTCGCATATAACTATTTCACTAGATTTGGTATTACCAGCCGTCACTGGTGGTTGAGGTGGTTGGATTACTTGGTCAGCATTTTTGCGGTTGTTTAACTCTTCAGATAGCTCGGCATCGCTTTCACACTGGGAGGACATCATAGACACTAACTGTTTAAAGCTTCGCTTCTTGCACTCTTCATTTCTTTTCCACACGTTATCCACAAGTTGATCATACTCCAAATCGCTGTCATGGTCATCATGTGTATCACCTACCTTTGATTCCATTTGATCCATTACTTTTTCATACTCCAAATTACTGTCATGATCATTGCCTGAATCTCCACTTTCTTCATTATGTAGCTTGTGTTCCACTTTATCAACTTGCTGATCATACTCTAATTTGCTGTCATCATCATTGTACGTCTCTCTTACCTTTGATTCACAACTTTCTTCATTATGTAGTTTGCGCTCCTCTGCATTACTATTGGAGGAGGTCGGTGCGAGGTGCCCAGGGTTACTCACGTTTCTGCTGATAGTTGCTTCTCCTTCAGGATTTTCTAATAATTGATCATCCGAGTCATTTTCAATTTCTTCCTCAGCTTCGATTCTATTCACCAAACTATACTCATTTTCCTTGTCACCCTTGTAAAATTTCACCCTTTTTGCGGCCTTTCCACGTACAGGTGATTTTGATTCGATTTTTCTCTTTTTAGGACCATCTTTAGTTGTGGCGCTCTTTGCTTTGGATTTCTTTCTCTTGGCAATGTGATCTCGTAGCTCTTGAAGCCCAATTCTCGGAGCAGATTTAAGCGCATCTAAGTATTGGTTTGAGTTGGGATTAAGCTTGTGGATATTTGACTGTAAATGATGATGAAGTTGAAAGACACCTTTCTTTGAATGCTTGCATGGAGATAACGGACAAAACTTTATCTTCCTATTAGGCGCTTTCTTGTTTCCATTTATATATACATCTACCTGACGAAAAATCTTATTCACTTTATGTACATCCTTCTGATGACGAGATAAATTTATAACTGATTTCCCACATCTCGAACACACTTTAGATTCCCGAGACTTTTCCTTATTTCAGAACTACCTTCCATGGTTACTATAATACAAACAAATAGAAAACTGATCTCAATGATAGAGTTGACAATGGTTAGCACAGCATAACAGATGAGTAGAATGATCTGACAATGATCAACACAGCATAAAAGATAATTAAAATGATTTGACAGTGATGAACACAGCATAAAAGATGATTTCAATGATTTGAAAGTGATAAACACAGTATAACATGATTACAATGATTTGACAGTGATCAACAGAGTATAACAGATGATTTAACAGTGATCTACACAGCATAACAGATGATTAGAATGATTTGAAAGTGATCAACAAAGCATAACAGTTGATTAGAATGATTTGACAGTGATAAACACAGCATAACACATGATTGCAATGATTTAACAGTGATCAACACAGCAGAACAGATGATTAAAATGATTTAACAGTGATCAACACAGCATAACACATGATTGCAATGATTTAACAGTGATCAACACAGCAGAACATGATTAAAATGATTTAACAGTGATGAACACAGCAGAACAGGTGATTAGAATGATTTGACAGTGATCACTAGAGTATAAGAAATGATTGCAATGATTTAACAGTGATCAACACAGCATAACATATGATTAAAATGATTTAACAGTGATGAACACAGCAGAACAGATGATTAGAATGATTTGACAGTGATCACTAGAGTATAAGAAATGATTGCAATGATTTAACAGTGATCAACACAGCATAACATATGATTAAAATGATTTAACAGTGATCAACACAGCAGAACAGATGATTAGAATGATTTGACAGTGATCACTAGAGTATAAGAAATGATTGCAATGATTTAACAGTGATCAACACAGCATAACATATGATTAAAATGATTTAACAGTGATCAACACAGCAGAACAGATGATTAGAATGATTTGACAGTGATCACTAGAGTATAAGAAATGATTACAATGATTTAACAGTGATCAACACAGCATAACATATGATTAAAATGATTTAACAGTGATCAACACAGCAGAACAGATGATTAGAATGATTTGACAGTGATCAACACAGCATAACAGATGATTAGAATGATTTGACAGTGATCAACACAGCATAACATATGATTAAAATGATTTAACAGTGATGAACACAGCAGAACAGATGATTAGAATGATTTGACAGTGATCACTAGAGTATAAGAAATGATTGCAATGATTTAACAGTGATCAACACAGCATAACATATGATTAAAATGATTTAACAGTGATCAACACAGCAGAACAGATGATTAGAATGATTTGACAGTGATCACTAGAGTATAAGAAATGATTGCAATGATTTAACAGTGATCAACACAGCATAACATATGATTAAAATGATTTAACAGTGATCAACACAGCAGAACAGATGATTAGAATGATTTGACAGTGATCACTAGAGTATAAGAAATGATTACAATGATTTAACAGTGATCAACACAGCATAACATATGATTAAAATGATTTAACAGTGATGAACACAGCAGAACAGATGATTAGAATGATTTGACAGTGATCACTAGAGTATAAGAAATGATTGCAATGATTTAACAGTGATCAACACAGCATAACATATGATTAAAATGATTTAACAGTGATCAACACAGCAGAACAGATGATTAGAATGATTTGACAGTGATCACTAGAGTATAAGAAATGATTGCAATGATTTAACAGTGATCAACACAGCATAACATATGATTAAAATGATTTAACAGTGATGAACACAGCAGAACAGATGATTAGAATGATTTGACAGTGATCACTAGAGTATAAGAAATGATTGCAATGATTTAACAGTGATCAACACAGCATAACATATGATTAAAATGATTTAACAGTGATCAACACAGCAGAACAGATGATTAGAATGATTTGACAGTGATCACTAGAGTATAAGAAATGATTGCAATGATTTAACAGTGATCAACACAGCATAACATATGATTAAAATGATTTAACAGTGATCAACACAGCAGAACAGATGATTAGAATGATTTGACAGTGATCAACACAGCATAACAGATGATTAGAATGATTTGACAGTGCTCAACAAGGCATAACAGATGATTAGAATGATTTGACAGTGCTCAACAAAGCATAACAGATGATTAGAATGATTTGACAGTGATTAACAAAGCATAACAGTTGATTAGAATGATTTGAAATTTATCAACACAGCAGAACAGATGATTAGAATGATTTGACAGTAATCAACACAGCATAACAGTTTATTAGAATGATTTGACAGTGATCAACAAAGCATAACAGTTAATTAGAATGATTTGACAGTGATCAACACAGCATAACAGTTGATTAAAATGATTTGACAGTGATCAACACAGCATAAGAGATGATTGCAATGATTTGACAGGGATTGAAATAGGATAAGAGATGATCACAATAAATAATAGCATCGAAAATAACTTATCCAAAGTCCTGAAACATCGATCGATGTTTTGTTGCTATCAAGGGAATTTCTGTTTATAAAAAGCAATTTTATTTTTTAAGTAAGAGCTTTCACCCACTTCATTGTTAGAACAAAGCAGAAAAAATGCATTCTACGATTCATATCTATATGATTTGGAAGTTAAATATAAGTAAACCGATAATTATGTAAGATATTACGAAGGCCAATCATTCTTCAAGTTTATCGGCTTTTTTCTCAAATATTGTAAAAAATATATCGACACTTATACCTTGGATGCTTGCAAAGCGTATTTCGTTGATAACCACTTGCTTAAGGGACGAAATATAACAAGAAACCTATGTTGATCTTATTTTCTTACCGTTTGAAAGTTGCCGTCATCGACGAACACGTGAAACACGAAAACGAAAGTTGAAGTGTGTGAACGCTGACCGCTAATGATGTACTTCTTCGGTAATAAACCGTAGAACCAAAAAATAGTTTTCTTTAATATGAAACCTTGAAATAGGTAAAAATTTGTCAAATACCTATTTTGAGTATTTGCTACGGTAACAAAAACCCATTTTGAGTATTTGCTACGGTAACAAATACCCACTTGGGAGTAGCAAAGACCCAGATGAGTATTGGCTACCGTAGCAAAAACCCATTGAACGTATCAAATACCCACATGGGTATTTCCTACCGTAACAAAACCCACATGGGTATTTCCTACCGTAGCAAAAACCCTCAATGGGTATTTTGTACCGTAGAAAATACCCACAAGAATCTAACCACGTAGCAAATACCCAGATCACTCTAGCTCTCTCTCTCTCTCTCTCTCTCTCTCTCTCTCTCTTTAGATTCATGAGTGAGTGTTTGCTACGCGTTTTCTCTATGCCTATTTAAATTAAGTAAAAGTTTTTTTTTAAAGTATTTAACAATTCTAGCCAAAAGAATATTGCTTTTTAGCTCTCTTCTATGCAAAACCAACGTTATTAAAGTTTAATTGTTGTTCGCATTTCGTCACTGAAAAGTCAGAAGGTAGCAAATACCCAAACCTAGGTACATCAATCATTTTTTTTATAAAATTCAAAAACTTTTCCGGATATCAAAGGTCTTCTAAATGTTCTTCTTTGCCGTAAAAAGCCTTCTGAGTTCTGTCGTTTTAAAATTTTTTTCTGTGAAGACCATTTTTTAGCAAAAAGTGCGCTTCTGGGTATGTAGGTGTACAAGACTTGAAACTTTGGAACCCAAACATTTCTAAAAATGCGTTTTTCGCATTATTTCACTTTTAGTTCATTCTAATGCCATGATTTTCGCATGCATGGATGACGCATTATTTTTAAAATTTAAACGTGTTTACAAGCTATTCCATTCATTTTTATCAATTTTACGAGCGAAATTCTGCATGTAGCAAATACCCATTTTATGTAGCAAATACCCACTTGTAAGTAGCAAATACCCACTTTGCCAAATTGATGGGACATTTTACTTATAAAACTTGAATAAAGCGGAATTCTGGTAATTTGTTTGCATAGCTAAAAGACGCCTTGTGAAAGGGAACATGGAAAATAATTTAAACATTTTTTAAAAGTGTTATTATTTGAATTAAAGCAGAAATATCGTGACTGAGCGACATTCAAGTTAAAAAGAGAAGCGGAGCAATATTGACAGTTAAGATGATTTCCCTGCCTAGTGTACTAATTGAATTAACAAAATAAAGCTTTTTTTAGACCATTTTTTACTGATCACGTGGACAACAACAATTTTTTTCACGTCGGCAACGTAGGGGGTGGTTACCCAATCCCCCGAGCCTAATGGCTCATGTTAAAAACGCTCGACAAAGATGATAAAAACGCAAAAATATCACTTAGCTCCCGATGCTGAACTTCCCCCTGAAACCCTACCAGCCCTAATCACCTAACATTATAGCCCTAACCCCAAGCCTAATTACCAATTCATAACCCTACCTCTACAATTGTATACTAATACACTTATAGGCTTACAGCCAAGCGTAGTTATGCGAGATAGGCCAGACTTAAATTCCGATAAAGTGGTTGCTGATTTAATTGAAGATGGTAACTGGTTCCAAGAATGAGAGATAGTGTATGAAAAGAGCTCTGAATATGGCTAGAGGTATTTACAGGCTGGGAAACATTAAGAGCAGAGGAGCGCAAATTGTAATGACAGACTCTAGGTGTAAAAAAATTAGAAATATACGAAGCTTCCTGTCGCTTGTATACCTTAAACATGATTAAAGACGCAGTAAAACGTCTTGGGTTAAGGTGTCCATACTAGCAGGCCTGAGACAGTCTTTGTACTCAGTAGATCTACTTAAATTAAGCACAGTTCTTAACACGTAAAAATACATTTTTCCAGCTTATTTTTTCAGGGAAGTAGATTCCCAACAAAAGAGGGGAACAGTAAATGATACCCTTTCATGTACAGGGATTCCACCTTAAGTTTGCTAGCACAAAATTTAGATACTCTTACTAAATGCGCAAACGGCTAATTTTCAGAAGAGACATGACGCTTTACTTTACAAACATGGCCACTGGTTTTTCGATAGATTTTATTGCTGTTAATTGGATTTATGAGCAAAACTCTACACCTAGCAAATTCCCATTTTATGTAGCTTATCACATACAGGGCAAAATTACTAAGTGCTGATTGGCTGAGACAGAGGGCATTTTTTCTTAATCACGAGGGTACTTTTGGTAATCAAAAGGGCATGATTACTTGATCTTGATTGGTTTAAAGTTGCTTTGTAATGAAGTTATTGCTTAGATTTGTTGCCGATTAAAATTTTCTGCAACAATGGCTTCCCATTTTGTTGAAGAGTTTATTGAGGAACTACTAAACACAAGTGAGCACAAAAACACAAAAAGAAGTACGGACTACTGGACTAACATTTTTTCCAACAATGGGCAAAGACAAGAGGAAAAAATGAGCAATGTCGCGGCATTGAACGGGCTTCCTAAAAGAATAACGTCGCGCGTGAATGGATTCCCGCGATAATTTTGCCCTTTATGTGATAAACAAGAAATCGCAAGTGCCCTCGGGCAATTAAGGATTAATTTCACTGGTGTTTTCAAAGTTTGGAAATACGCGTGAAATTAATCCTTAATTGCCCGAGGACCCATGCGATTACATATACATATCCTATTGACAGCTCGCATACAAGTTTGGGCGTGCGTGTTGATCATCCTTAAAGCTCTATGACAATGGCGATTTTAGCTGCAATTTCACCGGTTTGTGAGGTTTACAGAGCGATATAAATATTTTTAAAAGCAAGTGGATATTAGTTAAAGGTTAATGGACATCGTAGAAAGACAACAATAGATAAAGTCTTAAGTATTCTAATGTTATCTTTGTATTGGCTCATTTAGAATAAAACACCAATATTTAGGAAGGGGTTATGCGATATCGCTCTATTATGACGACAAAAGTTGCACTAGGGTAAAGTTAAACCCATAAAAAATATTTAACTGTTAACATGTAATAGTTCAATAGACACTAAAGGAAACAACGAAATTAGTGGTTAATAAAGTGTGTTAGTCTAATATGTATTTCACGGGCTTAGTGACTTCACCTAAACTTTTCGAAAACGTCATGAAACTTCCACAAAATCTCAACTGGAACTGCACTTAAAAAGACAATATATTGCAGGTTCATGACAACGAGTCTCAAAGTAAACTCTTTTAATTCCAGATATAAGCTTTATCACTTGGAGCTAAGTTTTTAAACGACAACTTTTGCTTTATGAAAAATTCAACTTTATAACACCTCGCAACAAGACCAAGACAAGTTAAATCTTTTTCATAGAAGTCGATGTCCTACACACATCAGTCACCAAGACAAATTCTATGACTCTTAAGGCCGATTTCCACGATGCGATTGTAGTATATGACTCTTAAGGCCGATTTCCACGATGCGATTGTAGTATATGACTTGATGCATGTGACCCGAATCATACCATATAAACGGTCATTCGTCAGGTCGTACACGACCCTATGACTTGTCGTTCGAACCTTAACACACGAAGAAATTGCATTGTGTAAATCGGCCTTTTTAGGGAATATTGACTTACTTGAAATAAAACGATCAACCATAAAATGACTGGCAAACGGTTAAAGAAAATAACATGTTAACAATATAGGACTCAATTATGTTGTAACCCTGAATACATAAAGACAAGAAATGTTCAATGTCAACTAATGTTCAAATATAATGCAAGAACCACAGGATCAAACTACTACTTTCTCTTCATCTTTTGACGTTTGACTTCTTTTCGTACCTTGTCCGCCAAACGTTGTTTTTGCCTCAAAAGAAGCTCCTCATCATCGGTTCCGAAGACCAACCCGGTTTTCCATGCTTTCTCATCATTTATCACCCGTTCCCAAACGACCTCTCTTTTTACTGCGTTGTTTTCAATCATATCCTGAGTTAACGATAGGAGATGGTCTGTTTGTTCATCGGTGAACTTACTCCATGATGGCTTTGCAGATTCAGATGCGATGGATGGAGCTCTGGAAGACATAAACCGTTCTATCTTCTGTTCAGGAGACTCAACTTCAGTTGGTGGTTCTAAGTTTTTGGTAAATTCTGATCGAAGCCTTCTCACTTTCAACACAATTGCCTTCATGGAGTGTGTTTCCAACAGGTTGGAAGCACCAAGTTTATCTCTGACAATGTTTTCAGTTATGTTACCAGTCTCAATTTCAGACTTGAATAAATCTTGAAGTTTTGAGGTCTCTTCCTCGGTCCACTCGACAGGAATTATTGATACCTAAAAGAAATCAGAATTCGTATGCCAATTGTTATTCAAATTACTACGATTGGTATGCATTATAAGAGTACTTACCTCTGTCTTTGCGCAGTTCATGGTGATAAATTTTCTGACAGCACGACGCCCAATATCTGTTTCTCTAACTTTGTCATTGATGCGGTAATATTGAGCTTGTGTTTGAGGTTTGTGCTGTGCAAGGGCAGCCAGTTGTTCTTGATCTTCAGGCAAATGGACATGCACTCCTGATGCCAGAGATTTTCTTATCAAGGTTGCGGAGATGCGACCGTGAAACTTCACACCCTCCCTTTGAAATGTACGAGTCAGACACGTGGATACTTGCGATGAAGTAAGTTTAACGCCATTGGTTGAAACGAACATGTTATCTGTGGCATCTTTGACGTACTTAGGCCTCACCCTTGAGATATACGTATTCACCAGATTGTAAACATCAGCATGAAACCATACAATGGCTGCCCCATAAACACCTCCTGTCTTGTGATTCTTAACTGATACGCGGTATCTCTCTCCATCTTCTTCTCCAGCGTACAGTTTAGCATCTTTGAATTCCTCCACTGTTATATTTGCTGCAATACCACTTCTTCCGGAGTTGTCAATTATTAATCTTGTAATCAGCCAATCCCTTACTTCGCAAAAGGTCTGATCGTTGACCAGCACAGGTTCTCCACAAGCTTTGCTTTTCTCCGCAGCTGTTCCAAGCGCTTTAATTATGTTTATTCGCTGTTGTCCATTTGACACTTTATATAGATCTTCGCTAGAAAGGAGTTTTGCAAAGTCCATGTCATGTTTCTCTAATTTCCTTTTCAGCACCTTCTTTCTTTGAGCAGATGACCACGAAGTTAAAAGATCTCTCCTTGCATGAAGTGTGTCTAATCTATCTTGCCCTTTCTCTTCTTGCACAAGGAATTTAAGGAATAGCCTAAGGCTCATTAGGTATGATCTAATGGTTCCAGGTTGATACTCCTCAGATAGTTGACCCAACCACTTCCTCAACATTACCACTCCGTCATGCCCCTCGACAGTAACAAGATCTATTTCATTTGCTGCTTGAGGGAAATCTTCTGAAAGAACTTTCATGATGCGTTTTACCTGTGACTTGTACTGACCAGCCACTTTTGCGCAGCGATAACCCCCGTCTACGTCTATCAACCAGGAATGAAACTCGTTAAGCAGTGGGCTGTCATCACTACTATCATTGTCTTCAAAACTGACATCATCTTCCATCTCTTCAAGACAGTCGTCATTATCATCATCATCGCTATCGTATACTGATGATTCATCATCATTCATAACTTCCTTAGGCACTTTACCTTGTGAAAGATTGCTTTGGGAGTCAGTATTACCAGCGTTCTTTTTTCTTTCAAAAACAACATCAACCACGCTCTTCCATTCTGGTTCCACACGAAGAAAATCGAGATTATCTACGTTTTCCACGAAATCAGTTAAAATGTCATCCCTTTCTTGCAACGAGCAGTTATCTGACAAGCTTCCAGTGCTACACTCTGATTCGGAGTCCAGGGAAGGGTGATAGTTTGGGTCTAAAATTTCCTCTTCTTCACTGTCGCATATAACTATTTCACTAGATTTGGTATTACCAGCCGTCACTGGTGGTTGAGGTGGTTGGATTACTTGGTCAGCATTTTTGCGGTTGTTTAACTCTTCAGATAGCTCGGCATCGCTTTCACACTGGGAAGACATCATAGACACTAACTGTTTAAAGCTTCGCTTCTTGCACTCTTCATTTCTTTTCCACACGTTATCCACAAGTTGATCATACTCCAAATCGCTGTCATGGTCATCATGTGTATCACCTACCTTTGATTCCATTTGATCCATTACTTTTCATACTCCAAATTACTGTCATGATCATTGCCTGAATCTCCACTTTCTTCATTATGTAGCTTGTGTTCCACTTTATCAACTTGCTGATCATACTCTAATTTGCTGTCATCATCATTGTACGTCTCTCTTACCTTTGATTCACAACTTTCTTCATTATGTAGTTTGCGCTCCTCTGCATTACTATTGGAGGAGGTCGGTGCGAGGTGCCCAGGGTTACTCACGTTTCTGCTGATAGTTGCTTCTCCTTCAGGATTTTCTAATAATTGATCATCCGAGTCATTTTCAATTTCTTCCTCAGCTTCGATTCTATTCACCAAACTATACTCATTTTCCTTGTCACCCTTGTAAAATTTCACCCTTTTGCGGCCTTTCCACGTACAGGTGATTTTGATTCGATTTTTCTCTTTTTAGGACCATCTTTAGTTGTGGCGCTCTTTGCTTTGGATTTCTTTCTCTTGGCAATGTGATCTCGTAGCTCTTGAAGCCCAATTCTCGGAGCAGATTTAAGCGCATCTAAGTATTGGTTTGAGTTGGGATTAAGCTTGTGGATATTTGACTGTAAATGATGATGAAGTTGAAAGACACCTTTCTTTGAATGCTTGCATGGAGATAACGGACAAAACTTTATCTTCCTATTAGGCGCTTTCTTGTTTCCATTTATATATACATCTACCTGACGAAAAATCTTATTCACTTTATGTACATCCTTCTGATGACGAGATAAATTTATAACTGATTTCCCACATCTCGAACACACTTTAGATTCCCGAGACTTTTTCCTTATTTCAGAACTACCTTCCATGGTTACTATAATACAAACAAATAGAAAACTGATCTCAATGATAGAGTTGACAATGGTTAGCACAGCATAACAGATGAGTAGAATGATCTGACAATGATCAACACAGCATAAAAGATAATTAAAATGATTTGACAGTGATGAACACAGCATAAAAGATGATTTCAATGATTTGAAAGTGATAAACACAGTATAACATGATTACAATGATTTGACAGTGATCAACAGAGTATAACAGATGATTTAACAGTGATCTACACAGCATAACAGATGATTAGAATGATTTGAAAGTGATCAACAAAGCATAACAGTTGATTAGAATGATTTGACAGTGATAAACACAGCATAACACATGATTGCAATGATTTAACAGTGATCAACACAGCAGAACAGATGATTAAAATGATTTAACAGTGATCAACACAGCATAACACATGATTGCAATGATTTAACAGTGATCAACACAGCAGAACATGATTAAAATGATTTAACAGTGATGAACACAGCAGAACAGGTGATTAGAATGATTTGACAGTGATCACTAGAGTATAAGAAATGATTGCAATGATTTAACAGTGATCAACACAGCATAACATATGATTAAAATGATTTAACAGTGATGAACACAGCAGAACAGATGATTAGAATGATTTGACAGTGATCACTAGAGTATAAGAAATGATTGCAATGATTTAACAGTGATCAACACAGCATAACATATGATTAAAATGATTTAACAGTGATGAACACAGCAGAACAGATGATTAGAATGATTTGACAGTGATCACTAGAGTATAAGAAATGATTGCAATGATTTAACAGTGATCAACACAGCATAACATATGATTAAAATGATTTAACAGTGATCAACACAGCAGAACAGATGATTATAATGATTTGACAGTGATCACTAGAGTATAAGAAATGATTACAATGATTTAACAGTGATCAACACAGCATAACATATGATTAAAATGATTTAACAGTGATGAACACAGCAGAACAGATGATTAGAATGATTTGACAGTGATCACTAGAGTATAAGAAATGATTGCAATGATTTAACAGTGATCAACACAGCATAACATATGATTAAAATGATTTAACAGTGATCAACACAGCAGAACAGATGATTAGAATGATTTGACAGTGATCAACACAGCATAACAGATGATTAGAATGATTTGACAGTGCTCAACAAGGCATAACAGATGATTAGAATGATTTGACAGTGCTCAACAAAGCATAACAGATGATTAGAATGATTTGACAGTGATTAACAAAGCATAACAGTTGATTAGAATGATTTGAAATTTATCAACACAGCAGAACAGATGATTAGAATGATTTGACAGTAATCAACACAGCATAACAGTTTATTAGAATGATTTGACAGTGATCAACAAAGCATAACAGTTAATTAGAATGATTTGACAGTGATCAACACAGCATAACAGTTGATTAAAATGATTTGACAGTGATCAACACAGCATAAGAGATGATTGCAATGATTTGACAGGGATTGAAATAGGATAAGAGATGATCACAATAAATAATAGCATCGAAAATAACTTATCCAAGTCCCTGAAACATCGATCGATGTTTTGTTGCTATCAAGGGAATTTCTGTTTATAAAAAGCAATTTTATTTTTTAAGTAAGAGCTTTCACCCACTTCATTGTTAGAACAAAGCAGAAAAAATGCATTCTACGATTCATATCTATATGATTTGGAAGTTAAATATAAGTAAACCGATAATTATGTAAGATATTACGAAGGCCAATCATTCTTCAAGTTTATCGGCTTTTTTCTCAAATATTGTAAAAAATATATCGACACTTATACCTTGGATGCTTGCAAAGCGTATTTCGTTGATAACCACTTGCTTAAGGGACGAAATATAACAAGAAACCTATGTTGATCTTATTTTCTTACCGTTTGAAAGTTGCCGTCATCGACGAACACGTGAAACACGAAAACGAAAGTTGAAGTGTGTGAACGCTGACCGCTAATGATGTACTTCTTCGGTAATAAACCGTAGAACCAAAAAAATAGTTTTCTTTAATATGAAACCTTGAAATAGGTAAAAAATTTGTCAAATACCTATTTTGAGTATTTGCTACGGTAACAAAAACCCATTTTGAGTATTTGCTACGGTAACAAATACCCACTTGGGAGTAGCAAAGACCCAGATGAGTATTGGCTACCGTAGCAAAAACCCATTGAACGTATCAAATACCCACATGGGTATTTCCTACCGTAACAAAACCCACATGGGTATTTCCTACCGTAGCAAAACCCTCAATGGGTATTTTGTACCGTAGAAAATACCCACAAGAATCTAACCACGTAGCAAATACCCAGATCACTCTAGCTCTCTCTCTCTCTCTCTCTCTCTCTCTCTCTCTCTCTCTCTCTCTCTCTCTCTCTCTCTCTCTCTCTCTCTCTCTCTCTCTCTCTCTCTTTAGATTCATGAGTGAGTGTTTGCTACGCGTTTTCTCTATGCCTATTTAAATCAAGTAAAAGTTTTTTTTTTTTTTAAGTATTTAACAATTCTAGCCAAAAGAATATTGCTTTTTAGCTCTCTTCTATGCAAAACCAACGTTATTAAAGTTTAATTGTTGTTCGCATTTCGTCACTGAAAAGTCAGAAGGTAGCAAATACCCAAACCTAGGTACATCAATCATTTTTTTTATAAAATTCAAAAACTTTTCCGGATATCAAAGGTCTTCTAAATGTTCTTCTTTGCCGTAAAAAGCCTTCTGAGTTCTGTCGTTTTAAAATTTTTTTCTGTGAAGACCATTTTTAGCAAAAAAGTGCGCTTCTGGGTATGTAGGTGTACAAGACTTGAAACTTTGGAACCCAAACATTTCTAAAAATGCGTTTTTCGCATTATTTCACTTTTAGTTCATTCTAATGCCATGATTTTCGCATGCATGGATGACGCATTATTTTTTAAAATTTACAACGTGTTTACAAGCTATTCCATTCATTTTTATCAATTTTACGAGCGAAATTCTGCATGTAGCAAATACCCATTTTATGTAGCAAATACCCACTTGTAAGTAGCAAATACCCACTTTGCCAAATTGATGGGACATTTTTACTTATAAAACTTGAATAAAGCGGAATTCTGGTAATTTGTTTGCATAGCTAAAAGACGCCTTGTGAAAGGGAACATGGAAAATAATTTAAACATTTTTTAAAAGTGTTATTATTTGAATTAAAGCAGAAAAATATCGTGACTGAGCGACATTCAAGTTAAAAAGAGAAGCGGAGCAATATTGACAGTTAAGATGATTTCCCTGCCTAGTGTACTAATTGAATTAACAAAATAAAGCTTTTTTAGACCATTTTTTACTGATCACGTGGACAACAACAATTTTTTTTCACGTCGGCAACGTAGGGGTGGTTACCCAATCCCCGAGCCTAATGGCTCATGTTAAAACGCTCGACAAAGATGATAAAAACGCAAAAATATCACTTAGCTCCCGAAGCTGAACTTCCCCTGAAACCCTACCAGCCCTAATCACCTAACATTATAGCCCTAACCCCAAGCCTAATTACCAATTCATAACCCTACCTCTACAATTGTATACTAATACACTTATAGGCTTACAGCCAAGCGTAGTTATGCGAGATAGGCCAGACTTAAATTCCGATAAAGTGGTTGCTGATTTAATTGAAGATGGTAACTGGTTCCAAGAATGAGAGATAGTGTATGAAAAGAGCTCTGAATATGGCTAGAGGTATTTACAGGCTGGGAAACATTAAGAGCAGAGGAGCGCAAATTGTAATGACAGACTCTAGGTGTAAAAAAATTAGAAATATACAGAAGCTTCCTGTCGCTTGTATACCTTAAACATGATTAAAGACGCAGTAAAACGTCTTGGGTTAAGGTGTCCATACTAGCAGGCCTGAGACAGTCTTTGTACTCAGTAGATCTACTTAAATTAAGCACAGTTCTTAACGCGTAAAAATACATTTTTCCAGCTTATTTTTTCAGGGAAGTAGATTCCCAACAAAAGAGGGGAACAGTAAATGATACCCTTTCATGTACAGGGATTCCACCTTAAGTTTGCTAGCACAAAATTTAGATACTCTTACTAAATGCGCAAACGGCTAATTTTCAGAAGAGACATGACGCTTTACTTTACAAACATGGCCACTGGTTTTCGATAGATTTTATTGCTGTT